AAGTGATGTGTAATCATGGAAAGTGTATAACATATAATAATTCCCAGGATAGAAACGTGTAGAGATAGAGAAGAACTTTGATAGTATTCGTAAAAGACAGCAAAATGCTAAATATAACAGAACTATCTACAAAATGTCAAGAGAAACCCAGGCACTCTCCATGGATACGACCCAGTTGAGTCGAATGATAATCTTGGCCTCCTTTTCCCAGCTTTGAGAACACGCAAATGCACGAGTGATGCCACTCGTCAATAGTTTTGAGTCAGTATGATAATTTTTGCTCGTCGCCAATTTTCTTTCTTGCAGATATTTTAACCCGTAGCTGACAGGTGGCATGTACGTACATGCCTTGTCTGTTGTGGACTGAGAAATGGATTGCATCATATCGTGCCAATTCCTGCGCCACTGGCTTGTTGGACAGTTTGTTTTTCTCAGATAGTAGCTGCTTCATTTATATGGTAAAGATTTTAGGCAATGGCACCTATAATGAAGGTAAACCTTCAAAATTATTAGATTTTCATAAATTGTAAAAAAAAAAAAAAAAGTTTCTAGGTGCCAAATGTCGCTCGCAAATTACCAGTTGAGCCGGACACAAACGGGAAACTGCCGATGTGTGCCAACAATCCCATTATTACGTCCACTTGCCAAACATTTTTACCCGTTGGCACTGGGTTAATTCCAACATGACTAACACAACCAAGCAAAACAAAGTCCATCCATATTTTAAAAAACATGAACAATCACTTAATTATGAAGGAACTTCAAAACATCATTTTTAAGAGTTTTCTATTGGAAATATTGATATTTTACAACTGTATTCTTCATTTTTTGACAATCTTTGATTTCTGGTTTCGTTTTGTTTGTATTACTACTCATTCGTCCGGTGATTAACTCAAAATTATTTACAGTCCTATTATTCCGTTCAGAGAAGATGAACAAATAAACTGAAATGGCCATGACAAAAAATTTGATAGACCTCTAGTTGCTTGCTGCTCGCTGCCTGTAGTTCGCTGCTCACAGGTCTAATACTTTGATGAAAAACCATCGCTATTGCTTTCACCTTGAATTTCCTTTGATCGCAGATCGCAGCCTATACATTGTCGATGCTTGCTATGACGCTACCACGAAAAACAACATATTTACTAAGCAGGCAACACTCCAGCAACAAAATGGCAAACCTTTACCACTTGTAATGGAGTAAGACAGAACTTGTACACCAGTCTAGGGATTTTTGTCAGTAAAGAAAGTAGTCCCAATTTCTATTTTGCTGAATAGTTCAAGAATTTAACCCACAAGCGCCGGTACCTTTTCAAGCTGTAAATAATATTTTCCGAGCGGCTTCAAAATCGGTGGGTGGGTAAGTCTGGGAACCTGCCCGCACGCCGCCCGCAATAAAATCAGAGCACAAGTTCCAATCTAGCGTTGTACTGGCAGGACACCAGGTAATATTTATTTTTCCAGGTGTCTCATATGTGTGACACCTGTCGTAAGTGGGTTAACATATGTTTATGTTGAAGTAAAGGAGATCAGTGCACACTATATGTTAACCCCCAACGATGTGGGTGATGTGACCATCATTTCTTGAGAATATCTGGCTTGAGGGTGGATTACGTGAATATGCCACCATGGGAAAATTTGGCTGAGGTATGGGATGGCTTGCTGTCATGAGAATTTCAGCTGAAGCTTAGGGTGATGGGAATGACTTGCCACGAGTGCACAAAGCTGTTGGAGGGTGGTTAGACTCATTTGGCATATAGATTCCTTTCACGATTACATCAATGTTGCGCAAGCTTAGCGACAGGCAGAAGCAAATGTTTTGATTGTGTGTGTCCACAGCAGTTCTCAGTTTCTTGTTTCAGTTTGATTTCTTGAGCTGAATGCCGCAATGTTGAAGTTAATCTTTACAGTACTAAGTTAGGGCAATTGAATATCATATTCATGTAGAGGACAAAATGTTGTAGTAGTCGGTAAAAGAAATAATGTGCAGACGCAAACAGTAACACCACAAATAAAGGTTAAAGATCACAGAAAGTGCTGCTCTCAGCCTAAGTCCACTCGGTGCTCACGAGTTTCAGTTCGATCTTGCTGTGCACATTGAGGTGAAAACATTGTTTCCCTGGGAGGGGTGTTGGGGAGCAGAGCCCCCATGAACTCTCCCCTCGGGCAAGGTTTGAAGGACACACCCAGACATGGCAACTTGGGTATTTGATGTGTAGTTGTGGACTTAGTCTCTGGCAAATAGTATAATTTATCAACAGATAATGATAATAATTGCTTTGATGGCAAATTGACACATACCAGCAAGATGTGCCCCTTTTCAGCATCCTAACCTTACACAAGTACCCCTTTCTTTGTGGTGTGGGGCATGCTCAAGTGCCTAATCTTGTTCCTGGAGCCCCTTTTGAGTTACTTCCTCTACCCCCTGATCAATCACAAAAATAGGTACAAAGAGCTCAGTTAAGGTTTTACTTATCTTCTGTGACAAGCATATATTGTGCTGTTCGATTTGGAACAACCGAAAAATATTTTCATGATCTTCAAGTCTTCATGTGCATTAAATAAATGCCTGATAAATTTGTGTCACATGAAATATTTTGCTGCAATTTTTCATGTCAAGAAGAACATTTTGATATGTTTACATAGTCTTGTACAGCAATAATACTTTTATAATTTTAAAAGTGGCTATATTTTTTACTGCTGAATTATTGTACAACTTCTCTGATTTTTAGACTATCCCATGTACAGATATGATTTAAAGATTGTATAACAAGAGAAGGAGAGGATACAGTGAGTTCCATGCAATTATTTTAATATTGTAAATAATAGTCAAAAGTATGTGGAAGTGCATTACCTTGTTGAGGTTTAGTTGGTATCCCTATTTATATTTCTAGGAAACCTGTCAACCTTTACTCAGTGCCCTAATAATGCTGTTTGTTCACTTCTGAGGAATGGCACTTTCGGTATCATTAGCCTCTTATTGACTCGTATATGCTGTGACATCGTTTCTTGCCATCAAGCACTGTACTCATATGCTGAGTAACAAGTATCCATACAATGTGCAGTTGAGTGCTGTATGTGTAACATGCTAAACAGCGTGATTGAGGAGAAACAACAACTCAAAAGTTGGCTTAGGCTCTTTTTTGCCTCGTTTATTGAAAGATCTAAATGCCAGAACTGAAGTCATAGTGACTGGGGGGAAACATCCCTTCTAATTTTCTCTTGAGTGACTGACTGTACACAGCATATGGTGCATGGCTCAGTAAACCATGGGTAAAATCCATTTTCATAATGTTAAGATGTGGTAAGAATTGTGGTCGTATGCTAAAAGAAATTGTGGAATCACTCTTTGAAGCACAAAATCCTCTACTAAGGAATTGATACTTCAGAAAATCAACTGGTATACCAAAATAACACAAGAGGATAAGAACATTGTATTTTTTAAACTGACAGTCCTAAAATTACGTTGATACTTCTTACAATCATGAAGGTTCTAGCATAAGAAAATTGTGTTAAGAACTAATTTGCGTCACACAATTTCTTTAACCATATGACTATTTGTAAAAATTGGCAGCATTATTTTTTTTTCTCTCTTTCTCCTTTTTTTTTTTTTTTTTTTTTTTTTTTTTTTTTTTATAGTTACATGTTTTGATTTTGAAATTAATTTTTGCTTGTTCATATTCTATTTGTAATGACTTAGTGATTATTAATGTTTCATTCATACTTTTTTCATAGCTTATACAAATTTAACCCCTTCAGTCCAGGTGATGTTACCAACATGTAATGAAAAAAATTGGCTTGAGGGGCACGTGATGTGAACTTGTCATAGGAAAATCTGGCTGTGGGCTTGGGTGACGTAAAGTTGCCATCGTGAGCTTTTCGGCTGAAGGCCCAGATGATGGAAAAGACCCACCATGAATGGAGACAGCTCTTGGAGGGTGATTAGACTCATGACTGGAAGAGCGCAGGTCCAAGGGATGATGCTTCTTTCATGGTTGAAAATTTTGTGATACGTAAAGATAAAAAAAAATTACCTAGATAAAAGTGTTACTTATTTATAATGTTACATATTTATACTTAATTTTCTTGCACTGAGTTATGGACTACCTAGAGGGATGATATTGAGTCTGTCCAAGGTAAACAGTCTATTACCATCTGTCTAAGAGAAATCAAAGGTAAATTATTGATATTTGAATATGGCAAAAAAGCTGAAAACACTTCAGCATTAAAAGAGAAAATAATATTGCAAAGGTGTTTCATAGAGTCTTGTCACTGCAAGTAAAAAATCAGTCAGAGCTATGTGATCCAACTTGTCAGTGACAGGGCAGACCATACTCACTTGTCTGCTGCTGCTAGAACTTCTCCCATTCTTGGCAGTATTACTCTACGACATACATTTGTTTTTTGTGTGGTTTAGGTCATAATTTTTATCTTTTGTTTCCATGCCTTCCCTCCATAATAGTATCAGTTTTCTTTTTCAGTATTCATTATTGTTTTTTCCCATTGCTTATCATGAAAGACATGCAAGAGTGTGGTACATTGTCTGCTGGTGTAGGTAAAATGTCAGTCACTGTTTTCTTTCTTCCTTTTTTTCCTTTTTTCCCCTTTCCTTCCATCCAAGCTGTTCTATAGGAATTTGTCAAAGAGGACTATACTATTGTTACTGTACATGATTATAATTTTATTAGTAACCCTGAAACTTATTGAAAGGGTTAACCAAAGAGGCTTTTGATTTATTAATTTGCATGTGGTTTAGCCCTTTAATGATTAGTACTATTAAGCCCATTAGCAACAAGTGATGTATTTCACATCGTGATGAGTAATCATGAACGCTAAATGACACCTCATCAAGTCATTAGTCCGTGTTCTGATCCCTTGGGTGAGTATTCATACTCCCTACCATGAGCTGGATAGTCACTCAGGTACAGAGTAGTAAGCACTAAGGTGTACTCTGAAGATCTTACCTATTATTACATCAAACATGTTGCAGCAATCTCATCCATCAAGGAATATCCCCTTGCGGCTTGGGAGAAAGTAGAAATTGCCTTTGTATAACTACAGTGTATCCAATCTCAGGGGAGGAAAGAAAAAAAGAAAGAAAGAAACTAGCAACTCTCCCCTGACTCTGGGTTACTAACCAAGCCTCCCCCCCTTCTCTCTCTCTCTCTCTCTCTCTCTCTCTCTCTCTCTCTCTCTCTCTCTCTCTCTCTCTCTCTCTCTCTCTCTCTCTCTCTCTTCTCTCTCTCTCTCTCTCTCTCTCTCTCTCTCTCTCTCTCTCTCTCAGTCACCACTTAGACGAATCCTCCTCCTCCTTTCTTCTTGATTTAAGAAATTAATAATGAAACATTTTATTGAGGTTATTTCAGCATGTTAAATACATAAATGATTATGTGTACAGAGCCAGTATACGGAACTTTTTTCTTTTAATGTTCTGTGAATTAGAGCTTTTAGAGTTCCTCTTAGATGTGAATGTGGATCTCTTGTTATGTACCATAATGATGATTATTTTAATTTTTCTAGTAAGTACTTACTCTTTCATTAATTTATTTAAATATTCCATTTTACAATGCCACCTACCCTTTCAGACAAAGGAATATGGGGGTCAATGGTGGCCCTGGATCAGGCTGTCCAGCGGGCAGTTATGACCAGTGCCACCAGTGGAGGAACCCCAGAGGCCCTGGAAGCAGGGCATGACCTGGACTTGGCACTTCAGCGGCATCGCACTGCTTTTGTCAACCTCCTGCGCAATCCCCCCAAAAATGCTAATGAAAGGTATTTTTTAATATATACATTCGTGTGTATGTGTGTGTGTGTACGCGTGTGCGTGCGTGTTTGTTTATTTGAATATATTTATGTATATGAATGTATATGTATTATTGATCTGAGAAGGAATCTTTTAAGTGGATACAGAACATAAGATTATTATTCTATAATCTTTTATGTATAGATTCATATTTGATAAACTGATGTTCTAATAATTAGATTTTTGATTGTTTTGATAAAATTTTCTTATTTCTTGCTCCAATAGATCAACTATCCAGAGGTCCAATACAGAGTCAATAACTCTGCCTGGCTACACGGTCCCCATCAAGCTGTGTGACTCCTTCATCAAGGAAGTATGCATCATTTCAGACATGTTCAACCTGAGCGAAATCTCTGTAGCCTCCCTCCTCCACTCCGCAGAAGAGGAACGCACCTTGTACCCAGGTGTTCCAAGGGGACTCATTGCTGTCCTGTTCTACTACGACAGCCGAGTGCATTTGGCCAATGCCCTCAAGACGCTGATCCAGGCGAGGCAGGGCATGTCCTGGGTCCTCCTCCCGGATAATGAGGAACTCTCTCTCAGTATCACCAGGTATCTGGAGCCAATTCTCAACATCTCCTTGGTCGGGAGAATTTTGGAGCTCATCATGTCAATGGATATCACAAAGGAAATAGAATTACTACAGCAAAACAGAGCCTTGGGAGATGCCAAACACAGAAAAATGGTGCTGGATAAGTTCCAAGCTGTGCGAACTTTGCTAGCAGAGTCGCTCTTCAGCTGGGCAGCTCAGACTCCTCTGAAGAAAGAAGAATGTCGCCGCCTCTTGTCCTACATGTCAAAGGTGAAGCTGACCGAGACAAGTGATGGATCTCTAGACAGTGTCAACTTAGCCCTCCTGATGGCCCTGCTTTACAGTCTAGAGGCTGGCCACCTCCTCAATTCAGAAGACATGACAGAAGCTCTCAGCCAGTTCCCCATTACAAGTGATCGTTCCTTTGTGCAAGAGATCCACCAGGACATGCGGTCAGAGCAAGCCTGGGAGACTCCGGGACTCAAAGCCATAGTACAGCTTGCTTGGGCAGTAAGCCTCGCAAACCTGAGGCAGGTTGCAGTTGCTACCCAATTAGCAGATATTGATGCCATTTTAGAAGAAGACGATGCTGTTCTTGATGATGCACTCAAGGGAAAAGTGTTTTCTTTCATCCAGAATTCAATTCTTACCAAAAAGAATGTGCCTCTTGAGACTTTCTACTGTCAGCGTCTACATTCCATCTTGTCTGATTTTATTATTCATGTACCTGAGCGTGTGAAGGCCATGAAGAACAGGGCTGATGAAAATTCCCGTCTGATCACAGCCAATCTCAGGGAGAGCCTACAACCTCCTACTAATCTTGAACAGCCATTTGAAGAACTCTTGACCTGTTTGGCTGCACTTTATCAAGATGGCCAGTGTGGTGAACTGGTTGAAGAGTATTGGTGTCCAAGTGAGGTGCTTCCCACAGCCTCCCTACAGTACAGAGGGCAGGGTTCCAGGCAAATGGCCCTTTTTAAATTTGTACGGCTCCCAGGGGACTTCTTGCCCCCCTCTTTGTTTGTGCCGTATGTAAATCTCCTCACCAGTCTAGCAACAACTCCACGCTCTGCCCAGTATGTTTACAATTTCCTCAGAATGAACAGCCAGCCACTTTCACAAGGCAGTAACCTTGCTTGGGAACATTTTATGACAGCCTTAACACAATACTACAATAATCTGAGGCAAGAAGAACCTGGAGCCATGGATACCATGTACCGTAGCCGTGGCACTCCCCGAGGAATCACACCGCAAGAAGTGCAGGGGTTGCTGGCAGTGCTTCAACTGATGAGTATGGTGGCCAAGAAGGATGAGCTATCTCGAGTAGCACTCTGTGACAATGCTGCTTGGGCACCTCTCTTTGTGTGCACAGGCTTGCTGACTTGTGCTGTTCCTCTGGCCCTTAAAACAGAACTGGTAAATGTATTGGCTGCCTTTAGTTTAACACCTGTGTTAGCCCAGCGTGTTTGGGAGCTGGTGGAAGGTGCAGGCTTGATTCCAGTTCAAGAAGGTGTTGCAGGTTACCAGCCTCGTGGTCTTCTGGTTGACATTGAAGAAGTTGAAAGTAGTGTAGAGGAGTTTCCACTGACAAGAACATTGTTGAAGATGTTGAGTACATTGGTACGTTCTGGTATACCTCCAATGCTAGGCGCGGCCACCCGCCAACCAGGATTTCGTCCCTACCTAGATTTGGTGAGGGATAAAATCTTCCTCCGCCACAACTCTCGTACTTACCGGGATGCAGGTGAACGATGGGCTGTGGCACGTGGCTGCTTGGAGCTCCTCCACCAGTTACTAACTGAGCACCTACAAGTTTCCAGCACTTCAGCAGATCAGCGAGGTGGACAGCCACCAGGTCATTCCATTTTACTAGACCTTGTACAGGAGTCACAGCTACAGAAACAAGTCCTCTCAGTCTTCCATGATGGAGTCCAGATTTTAGAACAGCACCGTGAAGTCCCCGGTGAAGAGGATTTACACAAGAGCCTCCTACTTGTACTGCAGTTGTTGGAGGCAGCTCAGGAGCAACAGCATATAGTCCTTGGCGCATCATCCAATCCTGATGTAGTCCTTGGGGTGGAGCGGTTACTGATGGGCATCAATCCTCACTCAGGCATCAGTGATCATTTATTAAATGTAGTGAAAATTGTTGGACATCACCAGACACTACCACAGCATGCAGCCCTAGCTTGTCGGCTACTTGCCTCTTCTGCTGCCACACCCAGTGCTCAAGCTCATCTTCTCTCTTTATTGACAGCTTCAACAAACACAGCTACGGCAGTGAGGCATAGTTTTGTAGAAGTGATAGATCATGCAACCCTGGACATTGCAGAACATTTGGAAGCTGCTGATGCTGCAATAAATTTATTGCTGAAGTACCTTCCTCTTCCATCTCCAAATATTGCCCACTTCCTTCTAGGATATACAGCTGATGACATGACAAGCTTACGCACAGATTTGCTAGATGCTGGAGCCAGAGGATATCCCCGAACAGCATTGCATGCCACTCTAGCAACCTTACCATCATGCCCGCTTAGCCTTGCTGAGGTAGCATACAGACTTATCCATGCACTGTGCAGTGATTCCATCACATCCTCACCAACTCTGAGGTATCTGCGATCTTCCCAAGACCTTTTATATCGCACAGTTGCTGCCATGGGACTTCCACAAGATGAATCAAGATTGCGACTTTTGTCTCAGGGTTGGGTCTTGAGATGTGTGGCTTTGGAACTACGGTATCATGCCATCCACCAGCAACGTTCCCAACTAGCACGCCTTATACATTTGCTAGTGGCAGGAGCCGAGATGCCACAGCAGGAGCCCCTAGATGCATCCCAGGGTTGGGTAGGTGGAGCAAGTGGTGGCCGAGGCCCACTTCTGTCACTACTAGATGCTGTAGACTTGAGCATTGATTCTCCACCACCCCTTCAGTGCGAGTACTTCACGAGAGCACCAGAACTCATAACAAGTTGTGAAGAGCCATCTCCAGAAGGACCAATGGTGAATATGAAAATGCTACATCAACAGCTGAGTGCCCTTTTAGCAGAAGGAGGGTCAGGCACGTCTGTTACCCAGCGCGATCCACTGCAAGAGGAACTAGAGCTAGTCATGAGTCATGCCTTGATGCTTAACCAGACAAGAGCACTGATGTTTGCCTATAGACACTTCCTAGAAGGTTGGCGACAAGTTGTGGAAGTTGTGGTAGCAGTTACACCTCCAGACCTTATAGAGACTGCAACACATCACTCATTCCTTCACACTCTTACTCATGACCTTACCCGACGTCTTTTGGATGATACAGCTCTCCCTTCATTGACCACGCAGTTGGTTTCAACATTACTGATGCTTGTTACAACCCTTAGAACTATCCATGCCAGACCAACCAAGCATCATCCACAATATGTATCCATGTTGGATAGTGGCAGCCCCACAGCCCAGGCAGAGTTCCCATCATCACTACAGCTAGTTCTTCGTGGACTGGTAGAATGTGTAGCAAGATTTAGACAGTGCAGCCAAGGTGTTAGAACTTCAACATATGCTGCCCTGTTAAATTACCTTCAGATTAGGGCTGATCCTATTGACAAAATGGAAAATGAAGAAGATACATCTCAGGCACTGCTACGAGCCCCAAGGGAAACCCAAGAGGAGCAGTTTCACCGTGAAAATTATGAAGTTGTTCGGGAAGAACTCCCTCAGTTGGTTGATGTGTTAGCGATAGAAGCTGGAGGAGGGCATCATGTATGTCAGGTATTAGCTTTGACATGCTTGAGTGCATTGGCTGCTTTAGAACACAGAGCAGCTCCTCTTACTAATGACTCCTTACTCCTCTCTCATCTTACCGATCAAGGACATCTGCCACGCTTATTGGATGCTCTCAGGAATGATGATCATCAGCTGTTAATTCTATTGACTTCTGATAATGATGATCTGAGACCACTGTATGTATATGAGGCAAGAATGTCACTCTTAGCACGCTTAGCATTATCTCCATCAGGAGCTCAACAACTTCTTCATGCAGGGTTGACCACTCGTTTATCAGAGATGGTATGCCTTGATTATCGCCCTGCCAAACCTATACTCACTGGTGGTAGTGATGACTTCATTCCCAGTGTGGTACAGAGATATCGCTCAGTGCTGATGGCTGCACTAAGATTGTTCTTGGCAATTCTTACATCTTTAGGCACTGATAATTACTCTGCAACCGCATGTTTGTTACGATTCTTAGCTGCTCATGGAGAGGCTTTGGCTGCTGGTCTCAGTGTACCTGCTCTACCTTCACCAGAAGCAATGGAAGAAGTAGCCCTGTTGTCCTCCGCAGTTGCAGGGGCTGCTCCACCAGGACCCATTACAACAACAGACCCAGCAGGATTAGAGGCAGGTGCACAAGCAACACGTCTACAGCAGTTATTGTTATCATTGCTGCCTCATTTCTTGCCTCAAAGTCGCTTAGCTGGTGCAATAGAAGCTCTCTCTGAAAATGAAGATGGAGTGAATGTGCGGGAAACAGCTCGCACTGCTGCATTGAGCACCCTGGCTGCAGTTCTTAACTATGCCACTGCACGACTTGTGCATGGTGGAACGGTAACCCGTGACATAACTCTGGTTTTCCGTCCCTCAATGGAAAATGGTGTTCCTACTGGAGCTGTGGGGCGACCGTTACCTCTAGCTACATTAGTGGAATGTGCAAATCAAGTTAGTCAGCAGTTCACCATTGCCAAGAATGCCCGTGAATCTGCAGCTGCTCAGCTACAGGCACTAGAAGGGAACCATCCTGTTGAGCATTTACGACAGTATGTGAGTAGTGCTGTTGCTGATGCTGCTTCCCCAGCGGCTGTCCGTAGACTTGCTGAAGATCACCTAAGCCAGATTATTGCCATGTATAGACGCCAGGAACAGCTTGCTGTGCATACTGCAGAGTCGGCAGCATTCCTTCTTTGGAGGCATCTTGAATATTTTATCCTGCATGCACCATCAACTCCAGGTCCTGCACAAGATGATATCATGGGCCGGGAGATTGGTGTACCAAGGACTCTGACACCATCTGAGGTGGATCAGCTACGAAAGCAAGCTGCTGCCTCACTTCAAGATGTGCTCCCACGGCTGCAGAAGGTCCATGAGGAATATTCAGCTGCCACAGGACATGTAGCATTCCTGGCAGCAGCTGTTACTAGGATAAGGAGGCTTTTGGTAACATAGCCAGATGAGGGCAATCACTTTTTACCTAATAAGGAGGTGAACAGATACTAGGTTCCTTCTTTGCAGTTTTAAAAGACCAGTGATTATTCTGCGTTTTTTTTTTTCATTGATGCCTGTAGCGGTTAATTGTATACTTCATTAGATACCTTAGACCTAATGCAGTCATGAGATATAAAGTGCAAATGGACGTATTTCTTTTTTGATGTGCTGTAGTGTCATCATACTTGTTTAAAAATTCATGATATTAACTAAGAATTTAGATATTTATTTTTATATATTACGAAGATTTTTTAAGGATCTTCGAAAAAAAGGGAATTTGTCCAATTTTGTCATGTTTATATCTAATGTTCAAAAATGCTATTTGATTAACATTTCATTGCTGACCACTGCTGCGTCATATATCAGATGAGCCATTGAGTTGTTTTAGGATATAATTTGTATTTATAGTCACTATATGTTTTTTTGATATTGTTAGTCCTTCGTTTTGGAATATTTGTTGAGTTTCTTGATGTATGAAAAATGAATGTCTGTAAGAAATATGATATATGAGGAATAACTCTTTAATTGAGATTTGTAAGAAATACAATATACGAGGAATAACTTACATGTGATAAAGTGGTTGGATTTTCTTGTACATCCAGTTTGATGAGAGTGCATTGACTGAATGTATGTTTATCTTTATGTTCTTGCTTTTTCATTGGAAACCAGTTATTAATAAATATGCTGAATATGATTGCTTCTTTTAAGACAAACCAATCCTTCTGTAGCTAGTATCTGTCAAATCAAAGGATTATTTTAAGATTCTGTGAAAAACTCTACTTTCGATGAAGCATTTAAGGCTTCATCCAAAGTAGTGTGTGCTTTGCGATACAATAGAAATGATTTTTAGAATGACAGAATACGATATATATGTGCATTAATGTACTAGGGAGACTTAATCTTTTGGTAAAAGTGTGTGGAAAAGATAGAAAGGGGTACGAAGGAAACATACACAAAGAAATTTAAAGGAAACATTGATTAGTAGCAGACATATTGAGACAAAGGAAATAAAAAGAAATCAGATTAAGGAACGATATACTGTATCATGTATCAGCCTTAGATCGTGTATTGGTGGTAATTCCATCTCAGGTTTTATTTCAAAGGAATTAAAATGTGAATGATTAAATTGATGATATGATTATTAGTTGATTTTATGTCAGAGGAGCATGATGTTCTATGCTGTATAATGCTGTGATGTGTTATATTATTAGTCGTGTGTTAGAGTTTGTTCTAGCATACAGAGTACTCCTCATATACACCGCAGCGTTGGTCTGTTCGTGCAGGGTCTGACTTTCTGTCGTGTCTGTCTGTTTCGTCGATATCGGTCCATTTTTGTTGTCTCAGTTGTCGTCTACGGTCCGTAGTGTATGCAATCCTGCCTTCTTAAATGCATTTTCCACTAACTCAACTCACATCATTCTCGGTCACATTCTCGCGCTGGTCTATCTCATCTATCTTATTATAGCAAGCATTATGCCGATGTATGCGTGTTTGGCTGAGTGTGCGCAAGCAGGTGTGTTGGCTCGATTTGTACGATATACATGACATAGATAGAGTGGAGAGCACATATACGATACATTATACCTATACACGTAATACATACATTAATAAGCACATACATATTAACATAATAAATCGTACAAGTATATAGTATAACAGTAGCACACACACACATACACTCATATCAAAAATAAACAAACATCAAAACAAAGATAAGATATCGACTACTTGCTATAATATAACTTTGATGCGTAAATAAATATGAATATAAGATATAGATATAAATATAGATATAAATTATATGATAAATATGAATATGTTGGGGATATAGATATGAATATATAAATATGAATATAGATATAGGATATAGATGTGAATGTAAATATGATCATGAACATAGATATAAATGTGAAAGTGAACATAAATATAGATGTGAAAATAAACATAAATATAGATAAAGATATTGATATAAGTTGAGATATGAATATAAATAGGGATGTAAATACCAAAATCAAAATCAAGATAAATATAATATATGCATGTAAATACAAACATACATATATACAAATATGTATTCACCTGTACAATAACTATACCATTCTCTCTCTCTCTCTTCCTGCTCTCATCTCTCTCTCCCTCTCCTCTCTGCTATTCTCATCTCGTCAGTCGTACTCTCTCGTCTCTCTCTCCTATCTCTCTCTCTCTCTACTCTCATATATATAGTATATATATATTATATATTATAATATATAATAAGTACTTGTAGGATGATAGTATAGTCATGTTATTTCGCATATTATATATTATATAGTATTTATATATAGTATTATCATACATACATGATACATACATACAATAGCATACAGTACATACATACATACAAGACTTCACACACCCACACACACACTACACACACACACGTTGCTGTGTTATCGAGTGTTCACACATCATGTACTGTGAGTTGGCACACAATGAGTGTAGTCACACACACACACACACACACCAACACACACACACACACACTACAGCATCACATAATGGGCAGCGCCACCATGACACATAATACATATATCGCTATATGCACGAGCACAGCTAACAGTTTATAATATGAATATAGGAATATGATCATCATCAGTATATATTATACTATGATATATATATAGTCATATATATAGTATAATATATATAGTATTTATATATATAATTATATTATACATATATATAGGATAGTGTGCGCGCACACGTAAAAAAACAAAAACAAGTAAAAAAGAAAAAGTAATTAGGTATTATATAGCATACATATATATCTAGTATATGTATATTAGTATAAGTTGTATATATATATATATATATATACTATATATATGATACTAATAATCGTATATACAAGTAATATATATGTAATAGTACACCATACATAATATCCGACACATCTGTTAATACAAACATTCCATTCAATACATATTATATAATCATGATATATATATAGTATATATATTATTACATATATATAATGTATATATAATATATAGTACGACTATTATTATTATATATATATAGTTATATATACATGACATATAGTTATCACCACATGTTTCATACACAAAAGCATTCATACATAAATATATATATATATATATATATTAAGTAGATAGTATATATATATGAGGTTATAGTATATATATAGTAAGTATGTAGTATCTCTCTCTCCTCTCTCACTTTCTTCTCTCTCTCTCTATATGTATATATAAGGTATATATATATTGGTAAATATTATAGGTATTTAATTATATATACGGTGTATAGTATAGCATATTACATCTGATATCTATATCTATAGTCTATCTATGCTATCTCTATTCTCTTATGTATCCTAATCTAGCGAAGCTAGCTATAATATATATTATATATGGTATAGTATATATATATAATATATCAGTATGATATATGGTGTAATTTATATATGTATATACTATATATAGTAATATATATATATGATATACAATATATAATATATTTAGGTATATATATATATTATATATATAAGGTATATATATTATATATATTATAGAACACACATACACACACCACACACACACACACAACACACGATCACACACACCCACACCATATATATATATATGATATTAATATTTATTATATACTATACCTATATATATTATATATATATATATATATATATATATTATATATATATATTATGTATGTAGTAATGATGTATATATGTGAGAGAGAGAGAGAGAGAGAGAGAGAGAGAGAGAGAGAGAGAGAGAGAGAGAGAGAGAGAGAGAGAGAGAGAGAGAGAGGAGAGAGAGAGAGAGGAGAGAGAGAGAGAGAGAGAGGAGAAGAGAAGAGAGAGAGAGGATAAGAGAGAGAAGAGAGGTGGAGAGAGAGAAGAGAGAGAGAGGAGAGAGGAGAGAGAGAGAGAGAGAGAGAGAGGGAGTTGAGAAAGAAGGGAGAGAGGAGGAGAGAGAGAGAGAGGAGAGATGCAGAGAGAGTAGAAACGGTTTTTGTAGAGTCGCTAGCAATATTGTGAGGTTGAATTTAAAAGGAAAAATATGCGTTATGAGAATTACAGTAGCCATTTTATTATACACTGATAGTCTTCATGTGTGAATGTTTTCGTAATCGTGTTATATGAACGCATGAGAATATGTAACCCCAGAATGTGTCATATATCCTTCTTCTTCTTCAAAGACATATTAAAAGAGAATTCCATTATAAAACAACTCAGCTCTAAAAGAAATACCTTTTGCTTCCGTGAGTTTATAACGATTACAAACGGAAGAATAACGAAGTCTTAGTTCTTTAAGAAAATGAATAAAATATCAAAAGTGAAAAATTTTACACAACCCTGATGTAAGCAGTGCAGACGACGCTAACATGGCAGCGTGTCGGGTGCTGCGATCTCTCTCCACTTCCCGTAAGATTTTCCTTATTTCTACGCGGATTAGAGGTCAAAATGCGATAGTATTGTGGATAATTATACCTCATTAGTATCAGTTTATGATATAATGAAAGAGAACTTCGATTTTCTTTTGTTTTGGTTTTTCAATGTCAATATTCGGTATCGAGCAAAACCGGTAAACAATCCAATGAGAATTTCTGACATGTTTTTGAGGAATATTATTCGTTATGGAATCGAATGACTGAGATAATATGAATCATGATTAATAGCCACCAATCTTAGTCATTTTGGTCAGGGTCTGGGTGTATTTCTCGAGGGAAAAATCACTTTATTTTCCCTTTTCTTCTGGTTGCTGTTGCTGTTGTTTTCGTCACAAGGAAAGGACGTGAAATGCATTTGGAAGTGTTATGATCTGAACAGGGAATTATATGAAGTTCGAGTCATTAGGGATCTCATACTGTGTACTCGTGTTGAACTTGCTGTGTTTTGTGTCAAGAATTACATAAACCTAATTATGTAATCGGGTGTAGAACCTTCTGTGTTTACAAATCAACAATGGCTTTTAAAACTTATTTTTCAGGCAAAGTATGGGAGATCTTGTTGTATAAAGAAATGATATGGTGTAACCTGAAGCATGATAGTTGAAAGATGGGTGCACTCATTCCAGATTGTAGAGTATTTTTCTTGCACGAGGAATATTAAATTTTTTCATGCCCGGAAACCATCGTTTTGTCTAGATGGATCTGCAGATAGATGATGAAACATGAACTGGTAAATATAAGGCCACTGTAGCATAATCTATGTTGTTTTTTCTCTGTTTCTTGCGCTCTATAAGGGTGGGCGCTGTCCATTTCCCCATATATCTGCACGTCACTCTCGGTAACCTATACTTGTAGATAATGGCTATGAATAACAAGATATTTTTTTCGAGGTTCTTTGTTTTTTAATTTCAGAGAGTGATGGAAATTCTCGTAACTATCACATTCTATTCTAATGACACTAGGTGATGCTCTTGTGTGAGAGTGATGAGAAATGCAGGTCAAAATCTTGTATAACTGATCATGAAATGATCTGAAAGTACGTATAAGAATACAGTTCCGTGAAAACATGAAAAAAAAAAGTAATGCATTTATAGCTCCTGGGCATTAGATTCATTAGCAACAGGCATTCCCGAGCAGTAATTAGTATGACCCCTCATTTAGTATGCCTATGATAAGCATTTATTCCTTGTAGTAAGCAAATTTTTGAAAGTCGCTCACAATGTTTACATGACTAAAGTTAACACTGGCTATGGAATTGGTAATTGGTAGGAAAGTTACGGTGGCTTTTAGTTGTCAGTGAACTTTTTGGTAGTATGTATATATAAGAGTACAAGTTTGCGACTGCTTTAAACTTCTACCGGTAATATTTGAAATGAATAATCGGTAATTCTTTCCAACATAACCGTACCTGTCGGAGACCAAGCCCCCAACTCCAGTCAACAATGTTGAGGGATCCTGTGGGGAATCGGGGGTTTGAGGGAGGGGTATGGTCGATTTCGCTCATACCAGGGATTCAAAAGGTAAAGAAAGTGTAAAAATGAAAAACACGAACCAAGAATCGTCCATGGGATTGCCATGAAGCAACTGGATTAAAGGGTTTAATTTAAATTGAATTATTCTCTGAATCACATAGTACCTATTTCAGAAATTTAGATCAGTATTCGTATTTTGTTAAGAATATCTGAGTTCTATATGTTTTTTGTTTTTTTTCCCCCTTCCAGATTTATCACCTTGTTTTAGGGCCTATCAGTACCACAATGGAAGTCTTGCCAGTCTAGCAAGGTCCAGGGGCTTCCCAGCACTCTTCCAGGTGCGCAACTATGCAGAGAAGAAGGTATTCCAGAGAGACAAGCCCCACTGTAACATCGGGACAATTGGTCATGTTGACCACGGCAAGACCACTCTGACAGCTGCCATCACCAAAGGTACCGCAGATATTTTTTTCATTGTTCGTAGATTAATGTAGTTATTATTATTATTAAGAATATTATCATGAGTATTATTATTGTTACTTTAATTTTTTGTTTTTATTGTATATATTATTCATGATTGTTGTTATTGATATTGCTATTTTTATTGTTGTTTTGTTTTAAATGTATTATTATTATTTTGTTATGGTTCATTATTGTTCCATTTGTTGATATTATGATGTCATATCTTATATTAATTTTTGGAAAATAGTATAGCATAAAAAATTGGACAACTTTTAGTTAAGTTTATTATATTTTGGGTATTATTGGGGAAAATGTTGATTAAGTTATGGTTTTACTTTTCACAGTGCTGTCTGACAAGGCCCTTGCGAGTGCAAAGCGGTACGATGAGATTGACAATGCCCCAGAGGAGAAGGCCAGAGGTATCACCATCAATGTTGCTCATATTGAGTATGCTACAGACAAGAGGCATTATGGCCACACTGATTGCCCAGGCCATGCTGATTACATCAAGGTAAGATGAAGTGTTGTCTGTGTATGTTTATTATTGGTTGGCTAGTCTGGTTTTTGGTTGAAAGCACTTCAGTGCCTGTAATAAATAAAGTATTACTAATGTTTAAACAACAATTCATTACCACTTGTCAATAACATCAGATTTTTTTAGAATTTCTCACAGAGAACAAGTAAAAGTTCACTTGTTTACATGTATTGAATGTTTTCTTACCTTTCAGAACATGATCACAGGCACCTCCCAGATGGACGGAGCCATCTTGGTGGTGGCAGCAACAGACGGTGTTATGCCGCAGACCAGGGAGCATCTTACTCTTGCCAAACAGATTGGCATCCAACACATTGTCATCTTCATCAACAAGGTTAGTTGGTGATAGATAGTCAGTATATGATGAACATATGAAGAATTAACTTTCAGTGTATAAGTTGTGCAATGAGGCTTTGGTTTGACTTATTTTGAAAAGTTACTCAAACCGTAGTCTTATGAGAAAATCATTAAATGTTTTTTAGGTTTCATCAGCTGGCAGTAATAGATTGGCAAGGAAAATGGTTACATTTACTCTAAACTAAATTATAAGAAAATTTGTACATACCACTCCTAGTAACAAGGCTATTTGTTTATTTCTTCACTGATAATTTTGTCACTTTAACTTGGTTCTTTTCATCTTATTCATGTTCTTATTCTTCTGTGAATTAGAAGTTAATTTTTGGTCTATGGGCTGTGTTTGCTGTGAAACACTTCTTTCCCTCCATTAGAATTTCGACATTAGTATTAGTTAGAGGAAATTTTCTTCTAGGTACTCGTGATAAAAGATCTGGGAACTTCTCCCATAAAGTTTGAAGTGCAATAACGTCCTTTTGAGTTCTGTGATATTGCTACTAATGATCCTAGATTACCTAAAAATTGTTATTTCCTTTTATTACCTTTTGATTGGCAGTTTTATTTTCATATTTTTCTGTATTAGAAAAAAACATATATGCTGCCTCAGTTTGTAGAAGCCAAAGCTGGAAAGACCTAATAACAACATGAAGTGGAATGATGAATAATCTTTTTTAATATCACTTTAGGTGGATGCTGCTGACGAAGAAATGATAGAGTTAGTGGAGATGGAGATCCGTGAATTGATGAGCGAGATGGGCTACGATGGAGATAACATCCCCGTTGTGAAGGGTTCTGCTCTCTGTGCCCTTGAGGATAAGAGTGAAGATATTGGTAAGTTTGGAGTCTGATCTTCAGTCTGTTTGCCTTTTGAATGTGATGATAATGAGTAGGTCTTGTGGAAGGGTGTAGTTGGGCAGTGTAGCCATAGGTAGTGTCAGGTTATGAAATACCATCAGTGCATAGCTTTTGTGAACATGGAATAATGGTCTTAGTTATCAGAAATGTGTGTACTTCATGACTTTTTTTTACTTATTGTTTTACAAGGGTTTTTCATTCATTGTAATTGAATACTATTTAGCAAAGAAATCAGTTTTGATTATGTTTAGGTTATCCCATTTAACCAAGATTAAAAGCGTATTTTCTTCTGCAGGAGTGAAGGCTATTGAAGAACTCATGAAACATGTTGATGAAGAGATTCCAACTCCAGTGAGAGAGTTAGACAAACCATTCTGCCTGTCTGTGGAAGGCGTTTATTCTATAGCAGGTAAAGGCAAAACTAATGCATTACTCTTCTTTCTATAGCTGGTATAGGCCAAATGAAAGCAGTTCTTTCCCTCAGTTTTTGCTCTTCCAAAAATTTGTTTTCAAGTTCAACGAAGGTTTCATTCTTCCATCGTGAGCCTTATACAGATGGATCTGTTCTTATATCTATATCAAATGAGTATCTGTCTTCCATCATGTCCAAGTCAGTCATTCATGGGTATAAAGAAAGTATGAGTTCTTGGCACATACAGCTGCAGTAACGTAAGTCTTGCTATTACTCCCACAGGACGTGGCACAGTGGTAACAGGCCGGCTGGAGCGTGGCAAGATCAAGAAGGGCATGGACTGTGAATTCATTGGCTACAACAAGAAGATTAAGAGCACCATCACGGGCATTGAGATGTTCCACCAGATCTTAGAGGAGGCCCAAGCTGGGGATCAGCTCGGGGCCTTGGTGCGCGGCCTGAAGAGGGATGACGTCAAGCGCGGCATGGTCAGGCATCTAAAATGATTGTTTAGTTACTGATTATTAAGTGTTGATTTTCCTTTTGAGGCATTTATTGTTGTATTTATTTATGTGATAGTTATTGCACATTACATTACTTGTATGTAATTCTTGTAAGGATGTGGAGTTTTATTTGTTTATATTATTGATATTGAAAAATTTTCATAACGCAAAACCGGATCTAGTTACGAAAATACATTATGCCAACACAAAAACTCCCATCCAATCACAGGTAATGGCCAAGCCAGGAACAATGAAGTCACACGACAACGTGGAGACGCAGGTGTACGTCCTCAGCAAGGAGGAGGGTGGTCGCAGCAAGCCGTTCACCTCGTACATCCAGCTGCAGCTCTTCAGCAAGACCTGGGACTGTGCCGCTCAGGTGATTGTCACGGAGAAGGAGATGGTCATGCCTGGGGAGGATGCCAAGTAAGTGTCCGGTGCTGGAGCTTTAAGTTAGATGATGATTTTTGCTCTTTATGTATCTGTTGTTGGGTATCATTTGTTTTATATTTTTTTGTGTATTACATGTACTTACACTTCGATTATCTGTCATGATTATTAAGATTATTATTATTGTTGTTGTTGTTGTAGTTGTTATTATTGTTATTGTTGTCATTGTTTTGTTATTATAATTGTTTTTATTGCTTTCATTTTTGTTATTGTTGTTATAATAATAAAATAATAATAATAATAATGATAATGGTAATGATGATAATAACTGTTATTATTAGTATTAATTTTTATTATTATTTTGATTTTTAGTGTTATTGTTTTTATTGTTATTGTGTTCATTTTATTATTTTATTTTTATTTTTTTCAATTTATTGATTAAGAGGGTCTTACATATTCAAATTGTAATTTTGGTGAAGGTCCTTTTTACATTGTAATTATTTACATGCATAACATAAGGCAGTATAGAGAAAGAGAGTGAGAGAGTGCGAGTGCTGGAAACGGAAACGCCTAATCATGTTCTAACCCCCACAACTTGCAGGCTGACTTTGCGACTCCAGAAACCCATGGTCATGGAAAAGGGACAGCGCTTCACACTGCGTGATGGCTCAGTCACTCTGGGAACAGGTGTAGTCACTAATATCCTGGACAACATGAATGAGGCTGAACGTGCCGATCTGATGGCAGGCAAGAAGGCCCGAGAGAAGAAGGCCGCTGCTGGCAAATAAAGAACTGCGGAGAGAGAGAGAGAAAGGGAAAGAGGAATGACAGCTGGTGATTGCAGCGGACTTTCCACAAACACTTAGAGGAATTGGTTAGAGGAATCGGTTAGAAAAATGCCATTAACACTAAAGATGTACAGGCTATAATATATCCTTGGGTAAAACATTGTTGTTGGTGTTGATGATATTATGTATATTTATATATATATTTTATTCTAAAGCGCTGCGAATGATGAAAGAAAAATGATCTTTGGTGTCTATTATGTGGACTGACAAGAATCTTAATTGAATCAGTGTCTGATGGGAAGTGGCATTTTGTCTTTTAGGGAGAAAGAAGAGTCTGAAAAATTACATTATAGTAGAATTCACGAATATTTGAAAGTATGACATGTTGAGATAAGTATGTAAATATAAGAAAGACATGAATTTTATTTCCAGTGAATTTGTCTAAAGAAAAAAAAAGAAAGAAAACACCACAGCCTATATTCAGCTTGTAATTGAAACAGCAAATTGTTAAGAAGTTTATTAACATGTACTGTATATAAACAAACGTTGAAAAGTAAGTGCATTCTCAGTCACGCACTGCAAATCTCTTTATGGAAATGTTAGGATTCAAATTCCTTTGGTTCATGACCAGTTATTATATGTATTGTTCAGTTTATTAACTTTTGTAAATAAAATTGAAATGTTTAGTAAAA